ACCGATGCATGCCTACAACAGAATTTCCGCATAAGTCCACGCGCCTCTCATTCCTCTCGAAATCATCCAAATAGTACAAGCAGCCGAGGTAGGACTAGGAGCTAGAAGAACACGGAAATCATAAAATATTTTTATAAAATTGTATTTATCATCATCATTATCATTATTTTTGAAAAATTGAAATAGCTTTCCTAGGTAGGCAGTCTGAGAATGTGATGCTAAGGAAGTGGACAGTGAAAGGCCTTGGGTTTGTTTTGGTTTGTACCTGTTAATTTTTGTTTAATTAAAGTATTTCTTTCAGTTAAAAAGAAAAAAGAAACAAGAAGAAAAAAAAGTGACTCGGAGTGTGGGTTTGCGGAACAAAATTGCTCGACATGGGGAAACCCAAATAGACGTGAGCCGAGGAGACTAGTTGTGTTGTGGTAGTGTTGAAAGCCATGGTTAGCTGTGGGTGGATCTCTTTCTCTTAAGGTGCGGAGGCCCAATATTTTGGTGTGGATACTTTTGTCTATTTATGGTTCGAGAGAGAGAGAGAGAATAAGTGCATCATCGTATTCATAAGGGGCATTGGTTTCCCTGCTCATCACAGGGACGTGATGGGGCCTGACATCCGGGGTGGTGATGATGGGGCTTGACATCCGTACAGATTAAATCAGACTTTACACTTACAGAGACAGCCATGCCACCACCATCGCTTTCTTTTTCATTTCCGCTGGGTCCCTTCTTCCCTCTATCTCCCCAGTCCCCACCCTTTGTGTCTTTGTTTTTCTTTTGAATGCTTCCCGTTTTTGATTGCCAATAAATGCAGCATATATTAATATCCACGGCGACACCAAATACAGGGGTTATGACGTGAGCCTGAGAGCGAGGTGACCTCACCCTTGAAGGGAGGCAGAGTAAAAGATGAATCAGCTCACTACTACTAATCCAGGACTCAAGTGTGCGTGGGTGGTGTTCTTGCAAAGCATGCCTGTGTGTACTCCATAGAGTCGATATTGATGACACCAACATTCGTATGTACGTATGGAGAAGCATTTATTTAGGGTGAAATTGAGAAAGCAAGCGTCACCCAGCTCCTTCTGCTTCTGATATTCCCTGGGGAAGCTGCTGCTGCTGCTGGGAGTTCCTTGATTTTGGTGCTACGTCATGTTCGCCGTATTCCGCGCATCCCTTGCTGCATGCATGTGATCATCACACTGAGATACTCTCTTAATTCGTGGGCTCACCTTCCTCCTCCATTTTTTCTCCCTTCCCTCCCAGTAAATATTTCTGGTGTATGCGGCGGCCATACATACAACATCTTCTTCTTGGTATTAATTATATAGAGAATAGCTGTTACTATCAACATGCAATGAATATATACGTGTATATGTCATATACACGTTAGTTTTATTTTTGGGCGGGGGTGAAAAGAGTTAGAGGAGGAATAAAGTGATGGGTTATGATGCATAAATAATGCAAGATGTAAAAAGAACTTCCCTTATATAAATATATACATGGAGGGGTTTGAAATGGAGAGGAGTGGTGAGGCATGAGGGAGTGGTCATGATGAGGAGGGAGGGAACATGATGAAGAAAAGGACGGTGTGGCGCTCTTGCCATGTCCCACACTTTTACTCTCCTTCTCTCTATCACATCTCAATGTCAAACTCTCCTCATCGCCTTTTCACTCTTTTCTGAATCTTTCAGCAATCAATATCCCCTCACCCCCTTTTCCCTTCTTTAATTTCATCCTCCGTTATTATATTCAAGTTTCTGCTTTATTCATTCTTTAATTCCGCCACTGAAGTGCCTTTAATTTTCCTTTCTTTCTTTTATTTCCGGCTAATTAATTTCCTTTTAAATCTTACTCCCAGCTAGTTTAACTTGACGTCGCGGTGTTGTGGCGGGGATCTCGAATCGATCCACACATCCAAGATCAATGCATGTCGTTAACGGTGGGCGCATAGCAAAACTGAGCATGGCCGTGCTGAACTCTCGCAGTGATGAAGCTTCTAAGGATCGAGGAAGATGACCGGTTAAAAAAGAGGGAAGTGAAAATTGGCGAATGTTACGCGTATTTGATTTGCGGGTAACATAATGGGCAGGAACAACGCAGGGTGTCGGGTCCAAGAATGCCAAATGTAAGCCTTACAAATATATATGCGGACGTTGTTGGCGGACGGAACACTTTAATAATTTGAATGGCTAGGGTTACGGGAAGAGCAAGAGTGGCAGACAGAGTAGGGCTCATGAAAATCACCCCTGACCCACCTAGCCGGACATAAAATAATGCCAAATACGCATCAACCCTCAACCGGGTAACAACTCCAACTGATCTCCCCTCCTCACTTTTCTCAACCAGCTTCCACTGTTCATCCAGTGATTCCAACATTGTTAACAAACCGCTGGGAGCCGTCTTTATTCGATCAGTCTAGCTGCTCGTGCATTGGCCTTACACAGCCTCTCCGAATCAATGGATAAGGTTGTGAGATGTGAATATTATAACATCGATCGCGCTGTTAGGGAGTGGACATATCACACATGCTATCGGTCTCGAACGAAAGGCAGGAAAAGGGGCGGCGACATTGGCCAAAGCGATATATAAATCCAGCTAAGTAGCGTACGAACTGGATGAAGAATATAAAAATGGACGGCACAGGCCCGTCATGCATAAAGAGCGCATATTCGAGAGTGGCAGGGGGAACATGGAAAAAGCACAAATGGCGGAAAACGATTAAATGGAATGGAATCATGAGCAACGCAATCTCTAAGACAAGATTTTGCAGGAATATAGGATTTGGTAAATTACAATTAATTACATGATGAAACATTGGAGTGTGCGCATAGACAGCTTTGTCATGATGCCGCACCGTGTACTTGAATTGATGTTCTCTTGTTTGTTTGAATCGAAGGCAGGGAGAGTGGGGAGGGCCGGAGTGGGAATGCCAGTTTTGGCTCACGAGGGAGGCCATGCTGCTGCTGCTGCTGCTGACCCACTCCCAGACAATGCCCATCATTGCTTTTATATTCCATACTTAATACTTCCACGCATGGGCCCCCCGTCATTCTCTTCAACTCATCAGGCCTGGAATCCATTACAACTTCTATTAATTTCACTCTAATCATTACCAGATGTATAGCAATTAAGCCCACCAATCTTTAGCATCGCGATATTTCTGTGAGATTAAGGAAAGTATCAGAGCAACATCGACATGCCTCCTCTGTATTCCCAAATCTCTCGCGATCATTTTAATTAATTTGGGATATGCGTAATTAAAAGGCCCTGATTGAAATTAAAAGCCACTGATGCCTGTCTTTTCTGGCTATTAAAGTTTGTATTTGATGTTGTCTTTAACTAGTTCATTTTAAAAAAAGCCCATCCCTTTTTGTGGAAGTACTCAAAATTAAGGTTTTTGATGGATTCTGCTGTCTCGCCTTTGCCTATATAAAAAGGACTGTTATTTGAAGCAGGCCGTCCTTTGTCCCCACCCTCTCATCATTTTAAATTTAAAACCAAAGGTGAAATGTGTGTGATGGAAGTGAGAAAGATCATGATCCATCAATCAATGAAATGAAAAAGATTACCCACTTTTTAAAGATTATATGTATATATCCCCGATCTCATGCAAAGCCAAAGCCTAGCTATTTCACAATTATAACGGTCCCAGAGGAGGGGAGTGCATGCTTGAAAGTTAAAACAGAGCTTCCCTTTCATTTCCCTCTTTCTTCTTGGCCAGAGTGCTTCAGATAATGGGAAATTTATAGCCTGTCACGTGTGAACATATCACTGGCCTTTTTTCCCTATCAATCATGTTCCGCAAAAAGATTAATGCCTTTTCTCTCCTCGCATCCTCTCCATGTGTGAATCTATCATGTGTGTGTCCCTTTGTTATATATAATCCTACCATTCGCTCAGAAAAAAAGTGAAACACAGAGTGTCATTGGACAATGATACAGCCACGCACGCATAATTGCTACTCGAATTGAAAACAAATTTACAATCATGCTATTGGGAATGATGGCCCAAAGCTTCACAACAATCTCTTAATTTTACTGGTGCACCCAAAAGTGGCCACAATAATGAAGTGCTACACCGTAAAAGGTAACTATATCATTTGAATTTTATTTTTTGGTTACATACATGAAGAGAATTTAAATCCCGAACCTCTATCAGATTCAAATCCTCCGACTCGCTTCAATCACATTAGAATCCTTTCGATGACGGAGCTCTCTCAACAATTCCTAATTATCAAGATACAGCTGAATCACTGCATTTTCTTCCCGTTCGTTCTATAATCATCACCTTTAAACTGCGTCACTCGGGCTTCCAAGATCCCAATTCCCTTAACCCGAATACAAGGCAGAAAAGTAGCGTCCATGAGTTGCAAAGTTACAATACGCACCTTCTCTTTATCCACTGTCATCTAAAATATGATCACATACTTGCAAAACGGGACAATAAAAGAGAATGAGACGGCCTGACGCCTCATTCACCGTATTTTTTCCGGCATTTTCCTTTCATTTTTTCACATATTAATCATACTCGCAGCACTGCATTGTGTGTAAAAGATTATGCGCTCATGCACATTTATTTTAGAATCCTTGTTCTCTAGGATTTAAATTCACCCTTGTTTTAGAATTTGTAGCAAATCCATGCTCATGCACATACTTGCTACAAATTATTTTGAAAAAATAATTGTTATAATAAATTAACGCTAGTGCACGGCTCCTCACCGAATCTAAAACAATCATTTAATTGCAAACACAGACAATTTAATAATCTATCACTGCCTCTTAATAAATCAAAATGTTAGAAGATACTGTTACTATGATTTTATCAACATACCCACGACGACGGAAAATTCGAAAAACCTGAAATAGCATGGCTCTGTAACAAATCCATCGGTTGATGTCCAAGCATGACATGTTTGTGTCATATAACTTCTATTCGAAAATAAAATAAAATAAAATCCTTTTGAAATGAGAGCGTGAATGTAATTGTATGGACCCATACATATATGATATATATAAAACATGTCCATGTGTTTTATACTCTTGCTTTTATTATGGGTACAAATCTAAAAATAAAAAAACGACACATGGAAGAAATGTATCTTTGATTTCACTAAAACGAGATTGCGGCGGCTAGCGATTCCACAAATCTCGCCTCCAATTACTCCTAAAACCTTCAATTTTTTAAACGCCATTAAAAAAAAAACAAGAAAAGAAGGAAGGAGAAGAAGTAGAAGCAGGTAGAAGGAAGCAGCGGGATTAGGAGGCGACGTGGGTCAATACTGGAAATTATGTTGTTCATTCTCTCATTCACACGCAAGTCAAAGCAAGACACTATATTAAATAGCAGATAGACACATTTCAAATTCCTGCAGCAATAAACAATATACGAAACCCACCACCAGATATATATTCCTTTAGTATATATATGAATGCATACGATCAAAAGCATAGTTGAAAATGAAGAGGAATGGAAGAAAAATGAGAAAGAAGGAAAAGAACTAGCTGCTAGCTATTATTTACACATAATTCGAAGGGACCGAAAGGACCCAAAAAGAAAAAAAGATTTAAAAAACTGTTTTAAGTCTGGTTATAAGATGAGAATACGTAGATTCACTCTTTCATGCATTAGCTTGAACTGGTGAGATAATAAATTCTTATTCGTTTCCTTTCGGTGGATGTTGTTAACTAATCAGATGAGCAATTAATCCATGATTCCACCATACCTTCACTTCTCGGCACAGCAGCAACACACTCCGGCCCCTTCTCTCCATGAAAATTATCCGAAGAAGCCAGGTAGTTTACTATCCCATTACCAACTCGCTCAGTGTTACTGTAGTTGGCGCCACCAAGAGACCTCACGAGCGATCCATCATCTCCTTCGTTGTTCGCAGCCATGCCGACCCTCCTCCTCATTGCTCCGTCCGATGATGAGGAAACCATGGTCCGATGGAGCCCGGCGACGTTGGCGTTAACGTGGGCATGGGTCAATCCCAATTCCTCCAACACACCCATTTTGAGATGTGAATCAGCAGAGGGAGGAATTTCCAAAGAGCCTTGAGATTTAGGGGCGAGAATGGAGGGAGAATTCTGGGCAGGGAATTTGGGTGGAGGCTGGAGGATGGATTGGAAGTTGAGAACTGATGGGACGTGCATGGTGTTCACGTTGAGAGGAGGCTGTTTCAGGAGGCCTAAATCAGAAGTGAGTTGGTAGTTAATGGAAGTAGAAGAATTAGTGGCGGGATTAGAAGGCAAGGGATCGACCATGGAGGACGTAGTGGGAAATGACGGCATTGGAGAGGAAGAAGAGGGAGACAGAAACGGGTTCGGGGAGTGAAGTTTGTGAGGAAAAGGTCGGAGAAGATAAGGAGGCAAGGGAGGGTCGAAATGGGGAGATCTGAAAGCAGAAGAAGGAGCAGACGAACTGAAGAGATCCAAACGGGCTCTGGGGAAAGGAGAGGAAGTGAAGGGAGGTGCGGGGATGCCGGTGAACTCCTGAACCATGGCACGGAAGTTGGTGGTATCCGTAGTGAGAACAGTGGTGGGTGCACGCCTAGAAGCTCTAGACCTCTTCTTCGGGTTTCGAACCGTGTTGCTATTGGAGGAGTTGGAGTGGGCCTGATCATTGGCGCCTGACACCGAAAGTAATCCTCGCGAACAACTTTCTGAAGGCAGAGTTTGCTGTGCAGCGGGGAACGCACCGCCCCTGCCTTGACCTCCCAATTGACCCGACACCAAACCCTGGTTCTGTGCTGACAATGAAGAAGGCATCAAGGCCCCAAGATCCGTGGATCTACCGGGTTTAGACCACGCCATGTCCAGGTTCAGGAGCGGGTTGGAATTGGAAAGCGACGGCGATCTTTGGGCGGTATTCGGATTGGGATTGGGATCGAAGTAATTCGACAAAGGGTCCAACATATGGATGTGGTTATGCTGACTGGTGAAGGTACCGACGTGCGCGGGCGGGTTGTTCAGGAAGGCGGAGATGGATTCGGCGCGTGAATCGTAGTCTTCGTCACCGCCGCTGGAGGATTGCATACTCCCACTGTTCGCCGAATCCATGAGAGAGAGAGCAGAAAATGAAAAGAGGTTGAGGTGAGGGAGATTTATTTATTTATTTCTTGGGGGTGGGGTTGTTGCAGAGAAATTTTGTGAATTACTTACACATAGCCATTTAAGAGGAGGCTACAGAACGAGGTATGGAGAGAAGTGAAAAAAAAGAGAGAGAGGGAGAGATATTAGTGGTTCTGGAAAGAAAGCTTTCAGAAAAGTACCGAAGTCTTTAAGGCTCTGATCTGCAACCCAAACAGTGGTGGTGTTGCTTTTTGGTTTGTCTTGGAGCAAAAGGATATACGTACAGAAAAGAATAAACATCAATTTATTACTAGAAGGGAGAGGGCGTACGCATCAGTCGATAAAATTTCGGTGTTTGGGCTCGGGACTTGAGAGCATCCCTTTGTCCCGTGTTAGGGTTTCAAGGAAAGAGATGGTTTTCACTTCTCTCAGACCTTTTTCTCTATCTTAAAAGGGTGGCTGCTTTCGCTCCCGGAAGAGATTGGGGTGGGGTAGACTTGCCAGGGAGCGTGCTCATGCGAGAAGGGTAGATGGTCAAAGTATGTGCCACTTCTGGCTTTGATTTCGGGTGTGAATCCGAGAAAACTATACCACTCTCGCATTACAATTACAAGTACTATAATACACAATTCTTTAATTCTTTCACACATTAATATTTTTTGTTCGCGTTAGAGGGATGGTTGTGAATTATATTTTGCATAGAGTTCCCAAAAGAAGAGGAAAAATAATCGGTATATGTTGTATAAAGGTGATTCGCGGGGCAGCGGCTCCGTTGCCTTCCATCCCCATCCAGAACGCTTCAAGAAGCCCATACAAATACGTACAAAATAAACTAAATCAGTTCATTTATAAGCCACAAAACAAATCAATTATTTTAAAGACTAACCCAACAAAAAATATATATCAATCTGATCCGCCTACGTGTAAAAATATTAAACAAACGGGGGCTTCCATAATTTTCCGATATATTTGACCCGGTCAGAATTTGATTATTAAAATTTGAGTGACGAATTAAATTTTAAAATATCTCAGACACCGCCGTGGTTTAGAAAAAGCAGGAACGGAGAATCTCTTACAGTGCATCTCCACTCCGGAGGAAGATGAAGCAGAAAAATCAGGTTATCTTTTTACATGGCACGTAAGCCAGTTTTCTAGCTTTAGGTGAGATCAAATTGATTGGTGCGTATTATTCTGTGATGATACTGTGTTTTGGGGAAACAAAGGAAAAAAAAAAAGTCCAATGGCACATTATTTATTACAGGATGGTGTGGCTTGCTGGACGGATGAATCAGCTGAACGACATCAGATGAGTTCGCTGCAACCATCGGAACCGAAAACGCCTTTTCCCCTCATGCTAATAGACGACGCATGTATCTTCAAAATAGTCAACCTGTTTCGAGAGAATAATATAGCTTTACTTTCTATTTCTTTCACCATTTTATGGATTTTGTATCAGCTGCTCCAACCGTTCCTCACGTCTCCTCAGTTTACACGTTATTTATATCTTATTATACAATACAATTGATTGATTCCCCCTCAATTATTTTATCTCTTCTGCCCTCTAACCACCGGTCAACCATTGACTTATCCTTAACGTGCATCAGCGTGGTCCTCAAACCGTCACTATTTTTCCAAGTTCTAACTTCTAAATTCTCATGTTCTTTTCTTTTCTAAAAAAATTACTGCATTATTTCGCATCCTGTGCTGCAGGTTACAATAACCCTATAGACTGCCAGACGCCTGCGGTCAATGGGAAGTGATCGCCGGAGTTATGATGAGGTGTATACCACAGGTCAAAAGTTTCGTATGGTCAATTGATTTATTTTATTTTTTTGCGGGAAAAGCGACAATAAATGCGCAATAGAGATGAATACTGATTTATCAACAGCCTATCAGAGTTGACTCTAAATTATTATACAATCTTGATTGCTCCGTAAATATTTTAATTTCCAGAGACATCTTCATGCACGTTTTCCACATCTCCGTCTGTTGTTTAAGAAAAAATAATAGATATGTGATTTATGTGGGAGGTAAATTTACATTTGTGTGAAATATGAAGAGCACGTAAGAATATTAACTGAGAAGATACCAATTAACTGATGTAAAAACATGCGTACAAGTGGAGGGCAAAAGTTGGGAAGGAGACGTTGCTTGACGGGTGATGAATTATAGGAATGAGGACACGTGGGGGGGGGGAGTTAATGTGGCAAAAACTGATGAAGGAATGATGTGGGAATGAAGTTACTTGAAGGAGTGAAAGTAGTTTAATTAGAATGAGTTCAGCTTCGCTCCACCTAAAAAGATACGAGTTTGATGCATATATGGATCAAAAAGATTAGGAAATGATGATGGGACCTCCTCTTAATCCCTCATTTTATCATCATCAACAGTGCTCGTTGCTGCCTGCTATACCTCCTGTGATTTGATGACGGATCATATCCTCAATTATAGATTTATCGAATCGCCGAGAAAAGAGGACCGGAATACTGTGACACAGGGACCCCAACTTTTGTCTGTGTCTACCTTAATGCTATTTCCGCATGTGAACCTCATATATGCCTTTTTAGTTTTTTTAAACAAAAAACTGAAAGGGGTTGGAAGGGGGGGGGTTAAATAGTCTCGAAGCATGTGATTCCACAAAAGCTGTATAGTATATATTGATCATGCTTAATTATAAGTGACAAACGGGAGCTCATTAAATTAAATGCTTGATTAAACGGCGTGTCCTGCGTGGAAGGGGGAAGGGGTAACCTGCATGTCACGTAAGTCATAGATAGGAAATAAAATAATATATATGTGTGTGTGATATGTACACACTGTACACCTTCTTTTGTATCCCAAAGGGTTGTATACATATGTTAATTATACTGGGCAGATAGATTTATGATCCATGAGCTACGGGAGCGAAAGAAACAGATAAAGCAAGAAGCCGCTTAATTTATTGATTCGTACAAGAATAATAAAATATATTGATGTGGAATCGAGTTGTAATTAAATATATTCTTCACGGACACAGGTGGCAGAAAGGAACCCCCTTGTTTGAATTTGCCTTGAAATCAGCTGCTCAATAATTTATATTTTGACAACGGATTAAAAACCAAAAAATGGACTGGGAAAATGACGTCCCGCGAATACACAAATCTTCCTAATTAGCTCGGATCCTCCGTTCAGATGGATAAAGCTCGTTTCTGTCACTTAAAACTAAAATATTAAAATAGGAAACTATCAGAAAATTAAAGGCAAAAGAAGGACGTGTAATAACTGCTATTAATTAAGTACGCGTGTTTGTGTATCAAGTTATCTATCTATAATCAGCATTGGATTTTTCCCCCGGCTCCTTTATCACAAATTAACTTTCTAGTTTATGCACCGATGCGCCAGAAAAAAGAATCGTATGCTTGTTTTTCTTTTTCAAGTCAGTACCGAAAGTGCCTTTTCAATTATTATGTGAAAGACGCTCTGCTCTAATGGATGATCTTGACAAGGCTTGCATATGGTTAATTTTAAAATCAGGCGTATAATGGTGAATAACTGAGAAATGATTAATAGGGGTGGGGGATAAATACATTCCAAATCGCCCTCAATATATTCTCCAAATCGAAATGCCTCTTCAGTATTCAGCAATCAGCTCCACTCATACGAATATTTTCTTGTCTCGCCTTTTTAATTTTATCCTTTTCGTTGTTTTCCTTTCCTCCCTGCCATTATTCTGCACCATCCATCAAGAATCAAACACAACTAAAAAGATGGATACCGTGATAGCTTCAAAATGATAATAGATTGATAGAAAAGGTTAAACCTGACAAATTACAAATATAATAATATAACATGAAGGCCCAAGAAAAATAATCTAGCTAGTCAATGAAATATACGCCTTCTTCTTATTAATAATATTTTCCCTGTTTTCCTCGTTTCGATGATGTGCGATCAAGCTGTACTGCTACAGCGGGAGTGGAGTTTTTATAATGTTTGGATTATTTGGAAGAGTATAAAGCTTGAGGATACTACATATATAGTACATACACTGATCCATAAGTTCTTCCAAACACTGATTTTTATTATTAGAATTGAGTAGACTAGAGAGGATATTTTGTATCTAGCTAGACCTATACGTGCGGTGTGCGGTGTAGAAGAACAGAAAGGGACCGGGGATCAGGCTGAATTTTCTTAATGATGCTTTTACCTAACCAGGCCAGCAATTTGAAGAAGGAAATTGATTCTTAAACGTATGATTAGACACCACTAATTAACTTTTTCTAGTTGAAAAAAATAAAGATGTATTACATGCAAAATCAATTAACTCGATCGATTTAATTATATTCCGCCTGGCCAGGTCAAACAAGTTGTAGATAGGTTCACAGGTCGCTTGATCAAATTAAGTTTATTAAAAAACGAAATGGCGGAGGGTCAAGTAGAGTGTCAACACAGGGAAATATAAATAACACTGAAGAGTCAGCCTCCTAGGTTGCCTCTTAAAAGACACAACCAATAGATGCAGAACTGTTTGACAACTATACTTTTCTTCCAAGTAAATGGAATTGGGTTTACGAAATGCGCGATCATTCTGTTCCAACTATACAAGTAAGTTTGGTGAATGTGGAGGAATAATGCGGAGAATTAATTATAACGAAACGAGTACTGCTCAGGAGTGGAAAGGGGAAAAAAACACCGTTGAATATTCAACGTTCAAGTAATGTTAGTCTTCTCACATATATCGTATCAATTATGGTAAATCTTCCATTGAATTGGTGTGATATTCATGGATGCACATCAAATTTATAGTGTCCATCACATTTGATACGAAAATTGAGAGAATAGCCGCAAATCAACAACGCTGATGGATCAAATAATTTGGAGGTAAAAGGATTAACCGCCTTTTGTTTAACTCTTAATCCTTGTTTGCAACAATATTTAAAGATGTTTTATAAAAGAGAATGAAATTAAGGATGGAGGAGCGGAATGATTGAAAAGGGGAAGGGGGAAAATGGAAGTGATAAATGTTTTTGGTGGGGGATATGGCGTGGAGGATGGAAGAGACGGCAAAGGAGGCAACATCTGTTGTTGAGGCTGATTCGAGATTCATCGATAGATTTGATTTGGAGAAAGCGATGTGAATAGACAAACATAGTTTTCAAGTCGGAATCTAATGTGACCCATTTTTCTAAATAGTCGATTCCAGTCCCTGTTTTGACAAGTCTAATGCCACCTAACTGTATGTTCTACCAATTCCCTTCCTTCTTCCCACCCCTTGAAAAAAACCCCGGATTTATTCCTTTACATTTTTCAGCAACTTCTACTTGCCCGAGCTAAAACATGCGAGGAAGTTAACTAGTAGCTGAATCAGTGAATTGTATTTTTTGTAATTTAATCATGTGAAGTTAATATGGCTCCATCTTTGGTGCTTGGTTTAGAAGTACATATAGAAGGAAGAAGAATTGACCGTAAGAGTGAGAACAAGGAGCCAAAAATGGAGAGGAGAGGGAGGCATGGAACAAGCCTACAGAGCGGGCGAGATGATGGGGTCAGGCACTTTTTATTTTTTAATCTCACCATTCTTTCGTTTCCCCTCCATTTCTCGTGCTTGCTAGATTTATATTACCATCATTATAGCTAACCAATACTCTCTCCGTTTTTATTTGTTAAAGAAACTGTGACTTTTAATTTGTTTTTTTATAAACATTTATTACAGATTTTCTCAAATTAATCCTCATAATTTACATTAACAAAAAAAATTAATGCTTACTTATGTTAATTAACATGAGTTATTTTAGTTCAATTTCTTTACTTTCACACATAATCATTATAGTAAATTGACTTTCTCAGACTATTTTATATAGTTTCTTTTTCTTGCATATAAAAAAACAGAGGGGGTATCAGTGTTTGCGCCGCACATGTGCATGTTTTAAGGTTTTTGTGTTAAGCATGTACATGCATGCTCCTTCTACAACAAAACGTCAGACATTGACATAACTAATTCACAATATTAAAAAAAAGTTAATTGAAATATTAATTTTTTAATTTTTTTATATTTTCAATTTTACTCCATTAAATATTTATATAAGTACTTTAATGATAATAATTAAAATTTCAATACATCATTTTTTTAAAAATAATAATAAATGAAGTAATGGCATAATTAAAAAATAATTATAAAAATTGTTCAATATTCTATATTTTGAACTGAGTAAGGCTTTTAAAGATGTCCTATATTATAATTTGAAGAGAGTATATTGTATTGAGTTTGAAAAATGACTTATACTATTTATAATTTATCTTTATATGTTATGGGTAACATGACTTTCTATAGAATTTATATGTTTTATATGTTGAGATGATGGACGCAGCCACCAAGCCCAAAACTATGGGCCCCCTCAGACTTAGCCCGAGAGTTCTAAGAACGACACGAAAACACAACACTGTCCGCTTTGCTTGCTTCACATTCCATTCATTATATTGGCTTGTCAAGAAATGAAGGAGCGTCATTTATTTTTATGACGCATGCCATTTCCTTGAATCCTGGGTTGCACCGTTTGGAGCAACCACCGATGGTTTTACGATCTGATACTCCGAGCCACGATAGCCAATGAGTTTTCCTCCCAAAGTTTTGCTAAATTGCCATTCTTTATAGGCTTATGGACATCTGGTGTGCTCGTTCTATTCCAAGCGAAAAAACTCATTTATTTTAATTTTTAAGGACAACTGCAAGACCTTTTTTGTTCTTCTTCTCCTTCTTGTGTTTTTTTCCCCAGAGTGACAACAGTATGACTGTTGGCACTGGGAACATGTTTTCAGTTCTAGACTTCCTGTCTTTCCCTGATATAATCAACTTAAATATACGTGCACACACAAATTTGTCAATGTCAAGATGGGAATATCTTTCAAGTGAGTGTGGTGGCATTGTCACCGGCGCAACTTGCGATTTTCAGACTTTCTAACCATGTTTTTATTTTATTTTTAAATACAATCTAACAGCGATCCTCTTGCCCTTACATTGCTTAGAGTTGGACCACTTAAATTGATGGGCCTGAGGTTCATCGCTTGACCTCTTTGGAATGGAGATAGTATCAACTTCACGAGTTCTGGGCCTAGGTCTCGTCCAAAATAGAATGAGCAGCGATTTCTTTTTTTTTTTTTGGGCTTCGAGGAGTGTTCTTAATTGGTCTCAGAAAGCATGAAAGAAAATAAAAGAGAAGTGGGGTTTGATGAACCGGCCGGGGATCCTGAGCTTGCTATGCTGCAGCGGTTTCGCTGAAGAACAGATGGGCATCGGAGGTTGTTGCCCGGGAAAGAAATCAATTTAACCTCCACAAATCCATTGCTAGCGCTTTCCTGGAAAATTAGAAATCCTTAATCTCGAAGCATGCCCGTTTCTAGGTTTATTCTGTTTTTGTCCAAGCGTCGCACCACAAGAGAGGTTTTCTGTCTTCTTCCAAGGTCATTTTCTGTATCCCTTCTGTCTTCTCGGTTACTCACATGTATGCTTTGGTATTCGGACTTCCGATTGTTTCGTTCATTTGCGCGATGAAATGAAACGGACATGTGTGAGCTCTCTTTGTCCCCTATTTTTAATCATTAAATTAGAAAATCACTTTCTTAGTTGGAAATTGCCTGAGCATTAGGAGTCCCCCTTGACATTTGCTGTGATTGATAGTATTGACTCCAGGAACAACTTAACTTGGCTGTTTCCTGATGTAAATCATTATCTAAACTGCAATCCTGAAACAATAAGATGGTTGCTTTTGAACCATTTGTCCTCAAGCGCTTGTTTTTACTCTAATTGTTAATGAAATTATATCAGGTCTGGCCCCTCGAACAGCGTTCAATCTTTTAGCTATACAAGATCATCAGAACGAAGTAAAGGAAAACCGGAAGCTCCTTCTGTAGTTCATTTAGAATCACATGCTTCTCATACACCGGCTACTTATGTTATTGTATGTTTTTCCTGCTTCCTTTTGGCATTGCTGCCCACCATTTGTTCCAATGAATTTTTTTCTCATGCAACAGTTGCATCACTGTCTATATTGTTTCTACTTCATTAGTTTTCTTGTATCATTCACACAATTGTTTCTCTGCAGCCAGCTGCTATACTAGGGTTTGCGGGGATAGCAGCATTTTTCCATTATAACGATGAGAGAAGAGCTGTTCCTAAAGGTACTTCTATTGTCAAGTTTTCTCTATTAATCTTTGCGAAAGAGTCTGAAGTAAATAAATTTGGTGATCGGCATTTATTTCTCTTTATAGCTTCTTTGAATTGTTTTGCCATCCTTTGTTCTTCTACATCATAAGCAAAATTAACGGTACTTCTTTTTCCTAGATCAGCCATTTATAGTGTGTGCTAAAGTTGTTGTCCTGACAATGTTTACTGTTAGGGTAAGAAAAAAAAAAAACAGTGTACTGGTTTAGATGCATGTCTTCTGACGAAGCTATCCGATTCCTGTAGATTATGGCTTGCAACACAAATACATAATTATATATATGTTTAGTGAGTTTGTGGTTGCTGCTTGTTCATGCAGGCCCATTGAATTTTCATGTGTTGAAACTATGTATATGCTTTCCTGTGGCACATCATGTTCCTCAAGTAGTTTTCTTTATAAGAATTTGTGTGGTTTCCTTTTCAACAGGTTGAATGTTTTGCAAATTTAGTACTCGAGACTAGCATGGGACCGGGAGCTAGGAATGGGTCTAAGTTCCATTTATTTCTGACTTTATTTGTACTGTTGTGTCAAAATGGATGTATTATCTGCAAAAGAAAATCAAATAGTTGAGCACCATCATCTCTGCTTTTTTTTTTTCTTTTAAATATTTTTAACTTGTTGCTAGTGATGTTTGGTGGAAGTACTTTTTTTTTTCTCATCCTGAAGTCCTCTCATTCTAGTTTGAGGCATCAAAGCTTAGTGACATTTATCCATTTTTGGATTAGACGCTTCAGTAAATGTCAAGACTTTTTCAAGCTTCAAAACGGAAGATAAATTTCTAGAGTCTTATTTTCTTTTAATGTTGGTTCAGGTCAGGCTGATCACCGTTGTGGAAATACTGTTGGGGGACCTATAATTGGGGGTCCTTTTACTCTAATTGATACGGAGAAAAAAACGGTTACAGAACATAATTTTCTTGGGAATTGGGTTCTTCTCTACTTTGGGTATACCTCATCCCCCGACCTGGGGCCGGACCAAGTCAACATTATGGCCAAGACAATTGATATATTAGGTTCAGCGCTTCTCTCCCTCTCCCTCTCCCTATCCTTATAAAAGTTGTTTTTCTTTGATTACCATTAACAAAATGCATTTTATGTGGATGAAGAATCAAAACAGAATCTTAAGATTCTACCGGTATTTGTTACAATTGATCCTCAACGTGATAGTCCCTCACAACTTCGTGAATACCTTAAAGGTTAGATTACCTGACACCCAAAAGTTCCAGAGTCTATAATTTCTTCAATTCTTCTCTAAGAACAATTCTGCTTTGTGCTTTCTCCCCCACTAAGCTTTCCCCCCTCTTTGACAAATTGCAGAGTTTGACTCAAGAATAATAGGGCTCACTGGCCCTGTGGGAGCTATCAGGCAGATGGCCCAAGAATATCGTGTTTATTTTAAGAAGGTAGAGGAGGACGGTGGCGATTATCTTGTTGACTCTTCCCATAACATGTAAGTCGCTCTTCTGACCTTTAGTCATTGTGTAATTTTATATATGTATGGACTTTAGATGGACAGTTATTGTGTAAAAACATTCAGGTATTTGTTGAACCCTAAAATGGAGGTTGTGAGATGCTTCGGATTTGAGTATAACGCGAACGATTTGTCAAGAGAGATATTGAAAGAACTGAAGGTAAGCACGTCTTGATGCCTCTGATGAATGGTCAAGGGTTGACGGTGATGCCAATTGCCTATTGATTGAGTATCGTCTTCTTCCACCTCATCTGATCAAATTGATTTTCTCTGTCCTGGTCTTTTTAGCATTTTCTTTCCAAATTACGGAGAGAACACTCCAAATTTCTGAAATTGTTCTTCATTTTCATAATGCTGAAGCTGGAAAGAAGGCCAGAGAAAGTGAGTTAACATTTGTCAATTAGAAAAGCTACTGGGGGTTTTTCGAATTTTGAAAGGCGGCGTTCACTTCTTTGAGTGCATTGTAGTTGTCTGTGTTTTTTCGAATTCGCTAGTAGGAGTCGCATGCTTGTGTCTCGCCTTGTCAACGTTTATACATGCGACCTAGTTATTGGATGAGGCGATCATATATGAACTAACTAATATGTAATTTAAATTAGTGGGGAAATTGACACCGACTAGCCCTAAGGAAGCCAAGCGCTATAACGCTGCTGGTACTTTCATCATTAACCCATTGTTCAGTTAGAGAGCCTTAGAGGGAAAGGGAGTGAATGATAGAAAGTTAATTGTTCTTAGGGAAGAAATAGAGAAGTGGTAAGTTTTAAATTTTCCTTCCCTTTTTATTTTAGATCTTTCTACTATAACCCTACTTGATTTTTTAAAAGAATTGAACTCATTAAAACGTTACCTCCCAACCAAATGGACGGAAGGATGAGCATAATATTGCAAGGATTTGGGTGTGGGAAACTCTATGACTGTTTGAGTTTTCCGGTCTAGAATCAAATGCACGGTATTCACTTTTTTTTTCTTTGGGTAAACAAATACGCGGTATTCATTGCCTCGACTTATGTTGGGTTTCGTCCACGTTATATGGCGCGGGAATGAAGAGGAAAACAAGTCTAGCATGGCACTGAAAGAAAAGAAAAATGTCTCGCATCGCAATGATTTTTTTTTTTTGGGACCTTAATCATAGCAATGATGACAGTTTGTTAAATATGGAGAAAACAGAGGAATGTAAGGTACTTTTTTTTTTTTTTTTTGAATTGTAAAGAGACTTGACTAGTTTTGTGGGAGATTGAGCCCGCCACCTCCCAATGGCAATGACCAAGTGCGTATAAGGTATATTATTGTAGTCCACTTTTTATACCATCTTACTAAAAATTGTTTTACTTTACTTATCCAGGAACTTTCTTATACAACTTTGCTCTAAAAACACGAGCTTTTCTGTCCTCCCAAAAAAAAAAAAAAAATACTTAGGTTTTCACCTATTGTGAAAGGCAAAAGAGATCAAGATTAGTGTGGATGGGCAATAGGATGAAATTAAAAGAACGAGTTTGGAATGAATAATGATGTCTTATTTTTCGGTAGAAGGTGCTGGAATGATGGATTTTGTTTTATATCATTTCTCATGACCGTCTGATTGCCGGAGGCCAAGTAGGCAGGTCCCGCCCCATAAAGGGCATTATTTATTCAATTGAAGATTACAGTCCGATGGCCGGATCTGCATCGCCGACTTAGCGGCTACAGATACAAGCATAGATCAACGCCGAGACCGGTACAAACCCTCAGATTCCCACTCCCATTAGACGATACACAAGACATCACAAGACACTGACGACCAATTTATGAATTACTAAATACTAAATTGGAAAGCAGTGTCACACGGTTGTGAGAGTGGGCCTCAGAATGGAGAGTCCAGATCTGAAGCCATCGACGGGAGTGGCGCGGTCGTGATCAAGCTTGGTGGAGCAATAGTTCCTGGCAGCCCAGAGCTGATAGGGCGATGTGTCCAGAGCGAGCCACTGCTCGACCGTGAACTGCTTCTGGGAGCAGGACACGTGGGGCCCGGTGGTGGTGACCTCCACGTAGTTGCAGTACCATCCGTGATGGGCGCCGGTGCCGTCGGAGGTGACGTTGGCGGCGCAAATGGGGCTGTTGAGGCAAGGACCCCTGCCGCTGAAGATGTCGAGGTTACCCCGCTCAAAGTAGTTGTAATTGGGGCCCATCAAGCCGCCCCAAGCTACAAGGTCCCTGATGTGAATGCCATAGCCATAGGAGTCGTATAGCTTGAGGCCGATCTTAGAGTCGGTTCCTCCCTTGATGATAGATCCAGTCCTAACGTACACCGTGTACACGCACTCGTAGTCGTCCTGCATTCAGTCCCATGTAAATATTCATACACGCGACGAAGGGGACAAAAATTATTGGCTTAAGAGAGGTGACGAAGAGAACAACTTACGGATCTGACGAGGGAGGCAAGGCTGAGTGAGAGGAGGAAAACGAGAGAGGACAAGGCAGTTCTGATTCTGAGAGCCATTCTAGTGTGCGGTGAGGGCGGGTAGTGTGGGGATTACATTGATCCCTTTATAACATGGGGCGCCACTGTTGGCCCAAACAATAAAATAATATAGATCGGCACCACGTGGTGAAGGGCTGATCATTTCTTTTTCCTGCTTGTCTGGGAATCTATTTGTATTTCTTGGAACAAAAATATGATGCGTCACTCAAGATGAATTATAAGATTGGTTGAATTAAATAACTGAAGTATTAAGCTTAATATAAATAAAAAAGATCAACCTTAATGCTCAGCAAAAGTCACAATAAATAAACATGTCAAAAAATTTTTAACTACAAATATTAGACAGTTGGCACAAAAGACATGATCTCAATTAATATTGAAATTTACGAACTTCACTTTCAAGTATCTTGGTGAAGCGAGTTGATTATTAAAATAAAGAGTATGGAATAAAAACTGTGCCATAAGTTTTGTAAAATCCTTAATTTTTGGCAAAACGTGCTAGGTCTTAAGGAAGAGACTGTCACCACTCTGACATTATAAATACAAGATGAAAATATATAAGAAACTAATCAATACTCAATTAAAGACTCGCATTTTATATTTTTTTAGTCTTTTAATTTATCAATTAATCTTTCAATTTAGACTTATAATTTTTTTTTATATTTTAATAAAATTAGACACCTGTTTTACTAAAGCCTTATATCTTTTTACATTCGAGTAAACTATGGTAAGAGAGCTAGGATTCTTTTATTATTAATTAAGACTCAGCATCTTTGATAAGCTTAGTATTTATTGTTCACCACAAATACTATTTTATTTAACTTTTTTCTTCCCAACGTTTCTAGTAAATTAAAAACATTTATTGTGACCATGTAGTTGTCGAACTGTAAATTTATCAAAGGAGTTAAGTTTTGAGAAGTTCTTTTTTGTTTTTTTTAATCAATATGTCCGAGCTTCATGAGTTACAGAAGCATGTTACATTCGAGTGAAGTATAATTTATGTACGGCAATATTAACAGCCTATTCAAACTCTATTATACTTTATTGGTCAAGACAAAAAAAAAGAAAAAGAAAAACTTCATTATACTTTAATTTATTTAATATCATTGCTGAGTAATGGAATTGTTTGAATAAATTACATTTGGCTTTTAGAAAGTGCTTTTCACACTTTCCAGAAACTTGTTTGGGTTAAAACACAAACATAAAAATACCTTTTTAAAGTTCACTCTAAACACAAATGAATGTGAATTTCGACAAAGTGACTATCAAAATTTTTGAAAAGCCCATTTAGGTATTGAATAATTCTCAAATTACCCCTTAATTCAATGTACAAAACATTACTTCTTAACTTAATATTTAAATTTTTTATTACATATATTTTCCAAACATTTCAAGTATAATAAAAATGATAAATTATAAAAATCAATGTCTTTTTAATAATTCTATATTTAAATGCACTTTCCATTATATATTAATATATGTTGAATTATTTATTTTTTTTTGAAATATCAAAATTTATATATTTATTCTTATTATTTTTCATATCAAATTTCATGTTATTTAAAATTTTTTATTGCATTTAAAAAATTAATATATTATATTTGTGTAACAAAAATTATAAATCATTGTAAATCAATATGTACATTGAAAATAATAAATTACCATTAATCTAAATAATTTGTAGTTTATTAAGTTGACCTTTGAAAAAAAAAATGCTCAAATATAAATTTCATTACCACAATTAATTTTTTTTAAATTAACTTTCCTTAAACGAACTCTTGATAAACTTATTTTTGCCCAATAAAAAACCAATCTCATACTGTCATACACACACAATTTCTGTTGAGAAGAAACCAATAAATTTATTTTAACATTAATTGTTGACCTTTTAAAAATAATAATTGTGATGGCGGAGTTTTTAAGATTAAATATTTATTTTTTGACACTCTTCTAATCATATTAATAAGACAAAAAAAAATATTAATTTTGATCATATTTAAATGATACTCCACTATTTTTCATGTTTATCTTTACCTTTTTATTGTTATTAAATGTTAAAAAAATTATAAAAAATAATTCTTTTTGTCCTTGTTAGAAGCAAGGATGAAAATTTATTAAATTTTGAGATAAAATTAATAAAATTTAAGATTTTTATTAATTTTAGTATATGTGTTAAAAGTTATTTATAAATAAAATCAAAACAAATACATATTTATTTATTCCTTGTCTTGGAGACTGTGAACACTAATCTTTTATGACAAATATTTTTTTTAAGGACGAATCTCGCTTAAAGCCTCTAAACACAAAAAATACAGTATTGTAAGTACAATAATATTTGATAATGTACTACAGACTTAAGAGTTTTTCTTGCAAATTTTATCATAGATGGAAAGATTGCAATTACTATTGTCTCAAAGGCATGTGCATGTATACACATCACGATGTTCATAAATTTTCAACACAATATTCATGAATGCAAGACACATTTGACGGATATGATTTAACTTAAAGTAAAATGTATAAACAAGTAAATGATAAACAAGACAATGTCCATGAACACATAATACAGTATCTATCAATTTTTAATGCAGTAAATATATGTAAACCTGTAACATTTATATAACATAAAATCCACAATTAACAACATATTTTAAATTAATGTTTACTAAATGTGTTATATATTTATAAATATTGCATAAAGAATTCGTCGATATTGAGCTGTATATACATAAACTTTCTATTAAAATAAGAGCAAATACAGTACATCTTCAAATTTTATTACGCTGCAAATTTTTATATTTTAAAAGTTATAAGTGAGATTCTCCCTACATGTTAGTCAAAAGAAACGGGACAAATGACTATGGTGCAAGTGCAACTTCTATAAATCGTTGATGTTTTACCCCCTTGAAAACATTGAACTTTTATTTATAAACATAATAACTATTGAATCTTTTGAAGGAAAATGTTTTTTAATGTTACCAAGTACGAAATATTTTTTAACATATTTATTATTACAGTCGTACTCATCATCGATGATTAAAAATTAGATCTGACTGTAGCGAGTTAACAACTATTAAATACATCATTAATGAATAATATAATATCATTAGTAAACAGGATGAACGTTGAATATGAAATGTTGAATCCATAATAAATCCTATTGTTCATGGTAATAATATTTTCACATAAAAAATGCCTTAAATTTTAAAGTCACGATCACACCCCATCCCCGTTTATCACTCCGGCTCGTCTATAGTATATCTAGTTATTTTTTATAAATTAATATAAAGAAGTCATCTAACGTTGGGGAATGCAGATTTAATGAAGACAACGGATCCGGGTGGGGACGGTTTCATCGTGTGAAACTGAAAAGGATAAACATACCATGCAGCGAACAAGACAAGGCAAGGAAGGTGCATCCACAACCAAAAATCAAATGTTTATTATTTGGATGAACTAATCTGATCCCACATGGCGCGAAGCTGAAGCTGTGAAACCGGTTCACTGCACATATTTTTCTGACATCAGGAAAATCCAAATGTGACAAAACGGAAGGCCGAATCATGGAGGCCCCGTCCACAAGAGAAGCGATTCAGGAAACCAAAGCAGGCGCGGAATTAGGGCAGAGATCCCTGTGAGACCAGAGGCGATAGGGCCAGGCATCACGGGCCAGCCACTGCTCCACCGTGAAGAGCTGCTGAGCGCAGGGGAGGTGGGGCCCCGTGGAGGTGACCTCCACGTAGTTGCAGTACCAGCCGTGATGCGCTCCCCAGCCGTCGGACGTGAGGTTCATGCCGCAGACGGAGCCCTTGAGGCAGGGACCCCTGCCGCTGAAAATGTCGAGATTGCCCCTCTCGAAGTAGTCGTGAGCCGCCCCCATCAAGCCTCCCCACGACTGCAGGTCCTTGATCCACACGGCGTAGCCGTAGGAGTCGTAGAGTTGGAGGCCTATCGTGGAGTCCGTTCCTGCCTTGAAGATCGACCCCGTCCTTATGTACGCCGTGTACACGCACTCGTCCTCCTGTGCCACTCTCTGGTTTTTTTTTTTTTTTTTGTCAGTTCAGAGCCTTTAAATTGAATTGCTGGAAATTAAAAAGAGAGCTTGAGAGAATGAGAGTGGATCTCACCGATGTCGCGCGAGCGGCCAAGAAGAATGGCAGAAGCAGAGAAAAGAAGCTGATTTTGAGCAGCATTGCTTGCTGATTCTATTCAATTGGGTGCCGCGGGGAAAGTCCCTCTCTGTACATAAATACACGGATGCTGTTCCTGTACCTTCTTGGTGTCGTTCACAGATCCTTTCTTTTAAAAATTAATTCCTTGCCAGAAAAGTTATTCTAGAAGGACGTTGATCCAAAGCTGTCTCCCCCCTAATCACTGTTGCAAATTACTGCTGAGTTTGTGTTTGGACAGCTCATTAACCGATTTTTTGACAGGAAAAAATCGATTTTGCATGAAATTATTCAAATGACAATTTTTTAAAAAAATCAATTTTTTCACAAGGCTAGCAGAGGCAGTTTTTGCGTTCAGATTACAAAAACATATGGAAAAAATTACAAAGCCAGGTTCAAGAAAAAAGTATACAAAGGTATAAAATTTAATAAAGATAAAATTAAATTCTTTTCTCTTCTTTTTCTAATAAAATTTAAACTTTAAATTCTTAAAAAAGTTATTAACATAAGTTTCTACCCACCATCACCATTCACTTAGTGCTTTCTATAAAACTAATTTAAATAAAATAATAATTGGTAGAAAAATATTAATTTAATTTAATTTAAAATTAAAAGTCATTACAAAGATTGTTGCAAAGATTCATAGAAAGATATTTTGTATCATTTATTACATTGCTACATTTTTTATATTGTCAAAATTTTTAAGCAGTGTTTAACATCTTCTTCAGATATAGCTTATATTCATGATGTCATTAGATATTAACTTGTACATTATCATCTTCATTCATTATTGTAAAATTGATGTTTGATATTTAAGAATAAAATCTTTTTCTTTTATTAAATTTATTTGAATTAAGATATATAGAATTATTTATTTACGTAAATTAAAATTGTTAATATTAATATATTTTAAATTTTTATAATTAATTAAATATATAATTTAAATAACATATTTTACTTTTTTAATATTAGAAACAAATTTATTAATAATTTAATTTTGAAAGTGTCTTTTATGATAATTTACAAAGTTAAAATTAATTCTGAATAAATTATCTATACATTTTCAATTCAATTAAAATTAATTTTTAAAAAATAATTTGTAAATAAATTATATCATAACATAATTAATTATAATAAAAATTTATTATTTAATTAATTATTTTTATAGTTTATTATATTCAACAAAAATTTAAACTGGCAATGAATTGTTGAAAAATCACATGGACAGTTGAGAAGTCACCGGTGGGGGAAACTGCTACTGGAGGATACCACTCTGGAAAGTGAAAGGCGGGACAGGTGTAAAACAAGGAGCGGATGGATGTCAGAGACAGTCTAATTTTACAGATCTCGGATCACCTTCCATCTTCAACGCCAGAATTTTATTTGCCGTGTTATAATAATTGTTTTTGTCCATATCCCATTTACTCTGACAGGTGGCCACTTTATAATTTATATGACAGCTCTAACAAATAGAGTATTTAATACAAGCTATGCGCGCGAGCATATTCCAGCGGTTCCAAAAAGGATCCGACTTCGCAGATCCTTTTGAGGAGACCTTACTTCTTGCTTCTTCTTCTTTTTTTTTCTTGAGAGAGGATTTAAAAACAATGAGAGGACGGACATGTCAGGGTTACCGGTTTCCAGCGAGAAGCCTCAGGCCTTACTCTCATCGTCCGCTCGTCCTGAAAAATATTTGACCCATCATCCACTCGCCCACTAGCATTTTGATTTCAGTTCAAGCCTGTTTAAATTTCAGTTAATTATAATAATTAATTATAATTATAATTAATTATATTATAACATAATTTATTTAAATATTATTTTTAAAAAATTAATCTTAACTGTAAAAATTTTTAAAAAGAATATTGCTTTTCAAAATTAAATTGTTAATAAAATTGTATTTAATATTGTTAAATTTGTTAAATTTTATTTAAAAGTAAAATTTATTATTTAACAGTAAAATTTAATTTATAAGCAATATTTCAGAGCTTATTTTAAAATGTCATTCTGATTCAACAATCAATTATCATATTTTTTAATTCTTTGGACAATTTTTATTAAAATCAATTATTTGAACCAAAAGTTCGATTATCCGTTCTATCCAAACGCGCTGGACCAAGGCTTTTTATCTCCATTCAAGTTTTCTAGTTTCTAACCTGTTATATATATATATATAAAAGCTTCAGAGTTTTATTCAGCTTTATCGTCTCATGAGAAATTGGCTGGTAATATTAAATTCTGTTTTATTCAAGTCCTCACACTTGAGAGTACTTTGGATATTGCAGATTTAAAAGTTTATAATTTTTTAAAATATTTTTTAAAGAGTGCATGGTAAAAGATTATCTTTATTTTTAATATTGTATTTATCAAAATAAAAATTATAAATATTTTAATATTAAATTATATCATCTAAATTAAATATGAACTGTCCGGTTTGATAATAATTTATAAAAAATTTTATAATTTCTATAAATTTTTATTTTAATGAAGATAAAATAAAGAAACCTTTAAATTTGGATGGATTAAAATTTAACGTTCTAAATTTGCTTCTCACCTTCGCGCCTGAGCAGAGAGAGGACTCAGTAAAGGGAAGCTAAGTGCTTGCTGAGAGTGAGCAAAATTGAATTAAAATTAAAAATTAAATCAAATTAAATTAAATTTGGTTTGTTTAATTTTTTTAGTTTGATTCAGTTTTTTTTTTTTATATTTGGTTGATTGATTCCATTCGATTTGAAAATTTTAAAACCAAATAAATGGAATCGACCAAGTTATCTATATTTTTTTTATATTTTTAAAAATGTGAATAAATCCTTATCTAGATCAGTAAAAAACATTTTTCTACTATTTGCAATAGTAGTAATTTTTAATTTAGTGTGATGTTCTAATTTTTTATTTCTATAATTTAGTTTTTAGTGTAATAATTTTAAGTCTTATTAATTTTTTCATAAATTATGATGTAAGATTGTTATTTTTTGTTGGGCCTTCAAAATTAAGGAAAAAAACTGGATAGAAGAATACATAAATAATTAAACTTTATAAATCCAAATTAAAACTTATGAACTGAATAGAATGATCAAATTGAATCATTATAATGCGGGTTGGTTTTAATTTGATTTGATTATATATTTCAATTTAATTTAATTTAAATTTTTTATATAATTTGGTGGATTGAATTGACCGAACTGTGCTCACCCCTAGTCCTTGCTGTCCTTTGCAATTCAATGGTCGAGCTCATTGAAGAACTTCACGATCATGATATCGGATGATACGGAACGCAACGTGGCATGTAAGTTTAAGGGGTATAAACTCCGAAATGATACGACTCTGGGAGAAGGGTGTCTCCTGTTCTCTTATTTTCTATTTCCTTAATTTTCTTTTCATTATTATTAGATCAAAGTTTTTTAATGATTTAAATCTTAATTTTTAATAAAATTATAATACATAAAATATATAAATAAAATATCATAATCTTAAATTGTTTAGATTAAATTTTAATGGTTCAAATTTATTTGCAAATTTTTATGTAAAATTAAAACAATAACCGTTAAAATTTTGATACAATGATGGTAAGAAGAAATGAAAGAAAATAGAGAATAAAGGAAAAGCAGTGACCCCACTCCCTCATGATACTCTTGTCCCAACAATGCCGTGCCAGATCCTAGTAATTAAGCTAATCCAAGTGCTGTCCGCGACATATAATAATCCTATTATTCATCTTTTTGCTTGGTGAAGGGCACGGGAACCTTTTAACGCCCGATAGTAACGCTTTAGTGTGTGTTTGAATGAAAAAAATAATAATAATTTTTTTATCTCTCAAAATCATTCAAACAGTCAAAAAAAATTAAAAATTGATTCTGAGGCAATACATGAGTTTTCCGTAGCCTCCGTCCATAGCTTTTGCCAAAAGTTTATCACAAAACATTGAAAAAAAATTATAAATAAAGCACATAATTTAATAAAAAAATTAAACTCTCTTCTCTTCTCTTTTTTTTTCTTAATACAATTTAAATTTTGCATCCTCAAAAAATTAATTTTTGATATTTAAGAATTAAATTATATGATAATTTATATAGTTAAAATTGATTCCGATTAAATTATCCAAACATCTTCAATTCTGTTAAAATTAATTTTAGAAAAACAGTATCCAAATAGATTACGTTATAATATAATTAATTATAATTAAAATATATTATTTAATTAATTATTTTCATACTTTATTATACCGAACTGAAATCTAACCCGACACTTACATGTAAATCCCAATTTTCCATCGACGCGTCTCAATTTGCTGACATATGATGACTACATGAGTTTAATCCTCAGCATTCAGCAAGCTCTATTATTATTATTATTACACTTTCCAGGTTGAAGAATTGAAACAACCCATAGATGAAAAATAAAAACTAAGGCTAGCTCAAGAGTAGCGAATCAAAGTAGGGTCTCCGGAATTGCACAGTGCTGGTGATCCATGCTGCACTGGTATTTGAACTGTCGTACAATTTTGTGTCAATGAAAGTGAAGTGGGCCGAAACTCTTTCCACCCAAGATCATTCCACGGGCTTCAATTGCAGCCCAATTCTCCATAAATACTTGGTGCCCTTTTTCAAATGGATGATATATAAATAGTTCCCCTACAACTAGCCGGAGACTTCCCAACTTAGGCTCCGTCTCAACCGTATCGTTATTGAGTTATTTGAACGACGTGATGGCGAATGAAATACCACAATTTATGTCACTGCCAATCTTTCTGGAACCCTTCTCGCATAAATAGTGGGAATCTTTTTATTTTTATTTTTATGTTTTTGCTGGGAGAGGGAAAAGAACTAATTAAGGCCGGTGAGTATTAAAATTGATTAATTGATTATAGAAAAAAAAAATATAAATTGATGTCACGGCATAGCATCCACGTAGCATGATCTTAGCCCTGCGTAAAATATGACAAAGCAGGCAGTGGCTTCCGAACGGGTATGAGGTTAAGGGTCGGGTGTAATCGGACAAGCTTAGAGGATATTCCTTCTTCAATCTGTGTAAGTTGCAGAAACTAGCACACATGTCCGCTTTTCCAAGTTATCGAACTTTCTCCTGAACGTGCCATCACTTCATATTATTA